CTTTAAGTGCCGCGTAACGATCTTCCGAGGGTGGCGCGTGTATCCCATTCATGTTCATCGTGGCGTTTCCACCGACCTGATTAAACATTGCGGACGTTTCCATACCTCAATAATAAAATTGTTCATTATAAGACAAACGTTGTTACAATTTCGATATTCTAAGTAAGAGATATAAAGACACTCTGATACCGCCGCTACTCACTCTTCGAGTTATTGAAGACTGGATTATTGTCAAAATTAGCGAAGAACGGCTGCGGTGCGATCGTCTGTTGACCGATCGGCGCCGTCGTCGTCGGGCAGAAGGGATCAGGAACTTTGCTAAAGTCGGCGACGAAGTCCGTCGAGAAATTGTTGGAATTGTTTAATGCATCCGTATTGCTCGGCTTCTGGCCAACTGGTGCGGGCAATGTCGTGGATGTTCCCGAATTCGGTACCCTCGGAATGCTGCTCGTGGATTGTGACCTTGGCTGTGTCGTTACTGTATTTTGATTTGCGATTGACGGGTCCAGATAATATCTTTTAAGCTCGTACTTGGCGCTCATCAGGTCCTTCATCTTTTGTTCGTCCTTAGTGTCCAAATTCTGTGAAGAGTTTGAGTTCATCAGACCCAGCCATATTCTCCTGCAGTACTCGTTGCCATGCTCCTTTATAAAGTCTATTTCATCCTGGGTAAACGTCGCCATGGAAATGGACTTTACCCTGTGTGGTGGAGTCAAGCCTCGTCTGAAAATGCAACACGAGGGCTTGTAGATCAGGATTCTGATTCATATTGACGCAGAGATCGGATTGATCGAGCAGACGGGAAAATCTTGCTTATCGTGATGTGATTCGTGTGAACACACACTTATAGTTTCAGTTTAAAAAAATATAGGCATCGTAATATCATTTCCACAAAAACATCAGCGATAACAGAGAAATTTATCTTAAGATCTATTCTTTTCGAAAACTATTTTTGCTATTGGTGTATATTGTCTTGGTGCAGTAAGTTGGAGTGCGGTAACTTATCAAGACGATATTATACTAGCGTACATCAATTCAAAATATTTATCAAAAAAGAACAGAGTAAATATATCTACAATTCCTAGTTGAACAAATTATCATCATTACGATATCATCTTTTTCACAAAAATATTTACAATAATTTACATCAGCTGAACAGTGGTAACAGAAAAATATCCGTTATCTTGTATTTTGGAAATTGAGCGTTTCTTATCAATTTGGAATTATTTGTTAAAGAATATAAAACAAGAATGAGAAAGAGAGAGGAAGGGAATTCGCGGAAAATCAATGAGTGCTTAGCCATATATGTAATTACGTCATACAGATATTTTCTTTTTTTAAATCACGGCTCGCTCTGGAATACTTTCGTCCCTCGGCTTACCGTACGTTGCAATCGTTAAATTTCCGTGACGAATAATAACGAGGCTCGCGTGCTAGTAATATGTCATATAGGTTCGCAAATATAGTACAGCGAGATTTAAAAATCCGCACGTGCGCGCGTGTGCAGTGCAATGCGACGCGGTGCGGTGCAACGCGATCGCCTCGCGCAATGCGACTTGACCGATTAAAGAGCGCGAGTCGATAATCGGCACTTCGCGTATCGCGCGTGAGCGATTGCAGTTTCCTGGAAGGGAAATAAAGATAAATAAATAGATAGATAGATAGACAGATAGATAGATAGACAGATAGATAGATAGACAGATAGATAGATAGATAGATAGATAGATAGATAGATAGAGAGAGAGAGAGAGAGAGAGAGAGAACCAAGAAGAGAAACGAGGAGAAAAAGGGACAAATGAAAAATGCATTTCTTTTTCTTTAACGGCGCACGTAACATTTTGACCAATGATAACTAGAACTGCGCACAAAGAAAACGTCGATGTCGACGTCGCTGATAGCGCTAACTTCCTGGCCATGGACGCCGCCGATGTTTTAACGCGATGACTCATTTGGAGTCCGTACGCGAGAGCGCACAGTCTC